GGTGTCCCTTTCCCAGTGCAACTGCAACCACGTGCTGGATTTTCTCCGGTATCTTGACCAGTTCGGAAAGACTAAGGTCCACCTGCATGGATGCGTCTTCTTCGGGCAGCCCGACCCTCCGGCGCCGTGCACTTGCCCGCTCCGGCAGGCGTGGGGAAGTCTCGACGCGCTGATCGGCCGGCTCAGGGCCGCCTACGAGGAGCACGGCGGGTCGCCGGATGCCAACCCGTTTGGAAACGGGGCGATCCGGGTCTACCTCAGGGAGGTCAAGGACTGTCAGGCCAAAGCCCGGGGGATACCATACAAGAAGAAGAAGAAGAGGAAGATGCCCACGCCGCCGCCGACGGCGGCGGCTGCGGCTGCGGCCAACGGTCAAGACCCGCCGGCCGTCAAGAATCAGAAGATGACGGCCTGAAATAAATACAAGAAAAATTGTAAGGGTACTTATACCTTATGAATTATTAATTTATTATTAGTAACTCTGTTTTTCTTTTTCTTTTTTTTTTTCCTTTTTGGGGAGAAAAATTAAAATAAATAAATGAATATTTTGAATAATTTTCTTGAAAATATGTGAAAAAAAGACTCAAAATGAGACAAAATAATTGGGACCACATTACTTATATATGATCACAAATATGGGTATATTCAAGAATTCTGTATTATTACTAAATAAAGTACATAGAAACCCTAGATCCAGAGACTCAAGAAAAAAAAAGCCCTAATTTTGATGTTGTTATATACTTAGGCAATTTGTGATTTTTTGGTCCCCTTTTATTTATCCTAATTTTTTAATTCACTAAAATAAATACTGCAATTTGTGATTTTTTTGGTCCCCTTTTATTTATTCTAATTTTTTAATTCACTAAAATAAATACTGCAACTTGATATAAATCCAATTTTATTCTAATTAAAATATTTTTCCTTTTCTTTTTTATTTTTTTTGGGGTTCTTTTGGGACCCAAGACATGAATGACCTTACAAGTTATTACAGCGTATTATCTTGTCTGTGGTTTTGCATGAAATGAGGCAACATGAATCTAAGACTATGATCATCTTAACTTTTGAATTCAAAATGAAAATTTAGCTTTTTTTTTTTATCTATATAAACTAGATAAAAAGCTTCACGAATTACATTTCAATAAATCGAACTTATCTTGAAAGCTTTGCAGAACGCTCTTATACCAAAGACATTCGGATTTGAGAGATCAATACGATCGAATTTGATTTCGACAAAATCGAACTTATCTTGAAAGCTTCACAGAATATGCTAACAATCGATTGAACTAGCTTCGAACCAAAAAAATGTTGCTGAGATTAATTTAGATATTTCGGAAGAGAAAGATTTGAATATCAAATTTGATTTGTTGAAAGTGTGCACAATAGATACTGAAATAGAGTAACTCAAGAGAACTAGTACAATAGTGAATTTTTATTTTTTTTTTTTATTTTATCCAAGTTTGACAAGGATGAGATTTCATGTTCGGTTTCATTGCAAATTTAACACGTCTTCATGATGATGTCATAATTATACACGTGTCAATCATCTAAACAGGAATCGGCAATACGATTTTGAAACACAAAATCTTTTCGTAATTTCAACTTATGTTCGGTTTGCATTATTTATAGTATTAAGTTTAACACCATGAATGAACTAAATTAATCAACTGTAATTGCTACTACACTTTGGTTATTTTGCATAGTTTTAGTAGTATAATATCAGTCTCAACTTCATGAATTAAGTCGACTAGTGACATTAATATCAAAAGATGTTGATTTATTTCAATACTTTTTCTATTAAAAACAAGAATCAAATCGAGAGCCAGATACATTTATCACTTTAATTTTGTCATATTCATGTTGAATTTTTTAAAATTTTATCATAAAATTTCTATTAGAAACACCAAGAATTATTATATGTAGAAACTGAATAAAAAAAAGTGATCAAATAGAGGAAGCTTGTTTGAACTTGTGTGTGTGTGTGTGTGTGTGTGTGTGTGTGTGTGTGTGTGTGTGTGTGTGTATTTTAGAACATATAATTCTACAAAAAGAAAAAAAAAAAAGGAAGCTTTATTTTATTTTATTTTATTTTTTTGTCTCATTTTACAGGACTACTAAACCTAGCGAATCGTAGCGAATTGAGCAAGAAAGGATTGCTGGAATCCAACGTTTGGCACGACTGGATCAGAGCTTACGGATAGATTAGTAGTAAGAAGATCGAGTGGCAGATGATCGCAATTTATTCAGACCTTAGTTATTATTACAGGATATATTTATATATATGTAGATTATTAATTATGAGTATAATATTATTCGAAATGCAAACTTCAGGAAAAATTAATGAAGTTGTTCTGAAATGTAGATGGAGTTCAAATGAAAGTAGAATGAATCCTATATATATATATATAGCTTTTTATGTTATACTATTGATCATAATCTGGATATATATGATGATACATACATGTTTTATCAGTGTATAAAAAACTCATGCAGCTGATATTTGGCTAGCTGCTTAATTTCCTTTCTAACGAGGATTATATATAGGATTTTTATTTCCTTGTGAATTGATTTATGTTTGATAGAAATTTGTCTATTTGCTAGAGCTATAATTAAACTAGTCAAGCCGAACTCGAAATTTTGATACATTAAAGCTCGGGGCTCGAGTCTTTATCGCATAGAGCTCGTTAACTAAATTACAATTGCTCATGAATGAGCTCGTCTTGTTTATGAAAATCAGTATTGAATGAAACTCAACTTAATGGAAAGAGCTAAACTAAAAAATCATTAAGTTAAATTCACTATGTCTGCCCAAAATTACTTGACTAATCTGCAATAATATTAAGGCAAAAGAACCATCTGAGTTCTGAAGCATCACATAAACTGAAATAAATTGCAGAAAATCAAGTGGACAAAAAACTATAAAACCCAGAAAGTAAAACATGAAATACAAATCTGAATAATTCATGCATATATACAATTACCGCAATTTTGTAACCGAAATGAAGACAAAAAAGGCAAAATCAAGAACCGAAATATATAACAAGGAAATGAGAGGATAGGAATTAGGAATAGCTTCACAAGTTAAATGTGAGCATGAATAAATGAAAAGGCACCCAACTGAACTGAACACAGATTTTCTGTCGACAAATGGGATCAAAAGTAAGATTAATAATCCATTCAGATGTTAGAATCAAAACACCATTTAGAGTATTAACAGGGCGTAATATAAGTCATAAGGACAATGGACTTCAGTGCCTTAACTCCTACAAAGGCCTAACTCTCTTTTCGCACGGCTAGCTATAAATACCTGCATTTTAACACGAAAAAATCAAAGTATTAAGAGGGAGGACAAATTTGAATGTACAAGTTTGACAAAATAAGATTTCCAGAAAAAAAGAGGCTAGCTAGTCTTGTTGTGCATAAAAAGCATTGGGGTAATGTTAAAATAGTCCAGATTTCAATCTAGAGTAATAAACAAACAAATGTGAAGTTCTTCCTTAGCATGGAGAGCTTAATCAAAACGAATATGATAATAGAGAAAATGCACATAGATGTAAGTCCAATTGCTTTCGAGTGAGCTTCTAATGTTATCAAAACTGCTAGAGAAATTACCCTAAGCTTCCATTAGAATGATCATATGCAACATATATGCAAGAGTATTAGTATACAATAGCAATCAAGCCCACCTCCCCAAACTGAAATTCTAATCCATCAAATTCAAAGTCACAAGTTTTCAAATTAAATCTCAATGAGCTTGTGTTTGCTCCATTGACCAGGCACTTGAACTGATTTCAATCTCAAAAGATCGAGCACCCGGGAGCCCAACTAATAATATGGGACGATAAAGAAGCGCATCCCCTAATTTACAGAACATCTGCAAGAACTAGCCTAAAATTCACGAGGTCTAGAAAAATACGCATTCACTATCGAGCTCACTACTGCACAAATCAACTTAAGCGCAAAATAAAATACATACAATCAAATGGAAAAAAAGATTGTGACAAAACAATCAGTAGTACAAACCCAAGGAATCGAAACCGTTACCATCAGATGATCCGTTCCGTTTGGCCCGCTTGACCTTCTCCAGCTGGACCTGAGTATCCATGAACAACTGCATCCTTTGAACCTCCAAATCCTTAGTAAACTGCATCCTCTGTTTTTCCAACTCCACCATCTGTCTCTGTTTCATACTCTCAACCTTCTCGTAAATCTCTCCAAAAGACTCTATAGCCTTAGCCAGCCTCCTCAACCCATCATCAACTCCAACTCCATCTTCCTCATCAGCCATATCCTCGCTCTCCTCCACCTCATCCCTCTCAAACCCTCCGTCATCCTCGGCGGCAGCCGCTGCAGCGGCCATTGCCGAGTAAATCTTCCTGAAATAAGACGCCCCGTCCAACGCCGCCGCCGGCGGACCCGGTCGCTTCTGAGGAAGAACCGTCGGCGTCGTCGTCGCCGGCGAAAGCGGCCTGCGGTAGGCCAACGGGACGGCGAACAAAGGAGGCGCCAGCGGCACCGCTGGCGTGCTCGTCTTCCCCTTTTTGGGACTAGATCCGACGAGGAGCTCCATACGAGAGTAGAACGGCCAAGACGACGCCGCCTTCCCGCCGGAATCGGAGATCCTGGCCCTCTCGACCTTATACTTCTTCTTCAGGGTGTCGATCCGGTTCTTGCACTGGACGTCAGTCCGGCGGGTCTTCTTCGTGTGGCCGTGGAGGGCGTTGACGGCGTCGGCGACCTCCTGCCAGTCCTTCTGCCTGAGATTCCCGCGATTGAGGTCCAGGTACCGCCGACCCCAGGCGTCGACGAGGGTCGACGTCGCTTCCTCCGTCCAGCAGTCCTCGCGGATCGGGGCCTGCCGCGCCGGCGCCTGAGGATTGGACGATTCCGTCATATCACCCATCGATCTGTAGA